ACATTATGAATTTTTTGTACTTATGTGTTTGTATATTTAATGCATGGCCCAAGATAACACTTCTTCTTCCCATGTGTCCCAGAGACATCAAGAGGTCAGACACCCCTGATGGTCAATCATGCCTACCTAATGAAGCTCCACAAAACCCCAAAAGGACAGGGCCCAGAGAGCTTCCTGGTGTGATGGAGATGTGAGGAAGTGGTATGGCTGCAAAGCACCTGGAAGCTCTGCATCCTTCCCATACAATCTGACTGTTCCTGAGTTGTATCCTTTTATAATAAACCTGTAATCTAGTAAGTAAAACGTTTCTATGAGTTCTGTGAGTCACTCTAGCAAATAATTGAACCCAAAGAGGAGTAGGTCATGGGAATCTCCACTCTGTACCAATTTGGCCAGGAGTATAGGTAACAACAGCCTGTCCTGACTGGCATCTGATGGGATGGGGACTAAATCCTAATCTGCGGAATCTGATGCTTTCTGCAGGTAGATAATGTCAGAATGGGCTTGAGTTCAATTCTTGAACTCAATTCTAGAACTTCAATTCTATCCCAGGGATATCCTGCTGGCTTTTGAAAATTACTTGTTGGTATGGGGAAACACCTCTCCCCCTCAGTTGAAACTGGTATCAGAACCTATTTAAAAGTATTCTGTCCTAGCAGTCTGAGATGATTAAGGCAGGGATCAACCAGAGGCATCAACACAGAGATTGTGACTTGGTAGCTATGTGACTGTGAGTAAATTATGTAATGTCTCTGTTCCACAGTTTTCTCATTTGTAAACTAGGAATAATAATAGTACCCACCTGGTAGGGTTAAAAAATACATAAAAGTTATAAGAAAAGGATATGACATATAGTAATTATTTAGGATGTGTTAGTTGTTATTGGTATTAGTATAAATGTATATAACCAACTAGTTTAGTAAGCCAGGTGGAATTGATAGGGGTATGAATAGAAAATGTATTTTTCCTCTATCACTGTTGTTTTCAAACATATTCTGAAAAAAAAATCTCCTTAGTTACACATATCACATATTGTCTCTCTTGAATAGATGCTATTTCTTTTCCAGTCATTCATATGTATTAAAGCATCCAATTTTCAGAAATTTAAAAGTTAAGTCCAACCTAAAATATTAGTCTCTCATCCAATTCAAACTTTTCCCTGCTTCCCAATTCATGGCTGATCCATGAGTCTGAAGACCAGAAATTGAGTTTCCTTGGATTATTGCTCTACCTCTGATATTCATTTTTCTCTCTTCTACTCATTAAGCTGCTGCTGACTTCTGCAGAGCAGAGAGAAAGGATGATAGGAAAAGGGAAAATGCTTTTTCATTTACCTTGTGCTATTTAGAGATTCTCTTGGCTGCTGTCTACTCTCTGTCACTTCAGGAGTCTAACTCTGTTGCTCTCATATGGAGGCCTGTGGCTTCTTTGAAGAGTTCCCTGTGGGAGTACACTGTTGATGTTATTTCAAGACTAACCTCTTGTGTGACTTCTGGTCAAGATGGTGGAGTAGGTGAATCCTGTGCTTGCCTATTTCCATGACCACACCAAAATTACAAGTAAATTATAGAACAGCCACCCTTGAGGACCACCTAAAGACTAGCTGACTAGAAATCCTATAACTAAAGATGTAAAGAAGATGCCATGTTGGGACCCAAAACAAGCTGGTCTCACACTCACATGTTGGAGGTTCAGAATTGGGAGGGATATCTCAGCTGTAGAGGTTCCCCACTAAAAAGTAACAGGTACCAGGCCCACACCAGGCTCTCTAGTCTGGGCAGCAGTGGCTGTGAAAATAGCAGGCATTCAGTCCAGGTTAGATGAAGGGCTGATGTAGACTTGGGCACCCTCTTGAGCACAGACTCAAGGCCTGAGCTCAGGCCTGAGCACAGACTCACTCACTCACAAACCAGTCAGAAATGAAGACTACAATAATTGAAATGGAGATGTCTGGTCAAGATGGAGGTGTAGGTAAACATGGCTTACCTCCTCGTACAACCACATCAAAATTACAATTAAACTACAAAAAAACCCATCACTCAGGACCACCAAAAATCAAATGGAAGTCTGACAACTATAGAACTAAATTAACCACATCCATCCAGGCTGGTAGGAGACATGAAATGGGCTGGTGCCACACACACATGGTAGATAAAAATTCAATAGGGGTATCTCGGAAGTGAGTAGTCCCAGTGCCACACCAGAACTCACAGCCCAGGGTTCCAATGCCAGGAATATAAGCCCCCATACTTCTGGCTGTAAAAACCAGTGGGGTTTGAGTCAGCAAAAGGAACTACTGGATTCCTAAGAAGTGCTCTTAAGGGCTCACACATAGGTTTGCTCAGATTCACTTCCTCTGAGCTTCAGCACCAGGGCGAAAACTTGAAAGGCATCAGAGATATATGTAGAGGGACCGAAGTGTCAGACATCAGGGTGAGGGCTGGGGGACAGTTTTCTCCCAGAGGAAAAGGTGGGCAGAGGCCATTGTTCTTTTTCTGAGCCCTCTCTCCACAGAGCCATAGAGCCAGCAGGTGGTGGTCATATCTGAGACCCCATCAACCTGGATCATGTGCTTTGCCCTGTCCCAGGGAATTCCTAAAGCTCTGAGTCCTCACCCAACTTATGGTGCACCCAATTTGCTAACAGTGGCTTTTACATATGAGTGGCTGGTCTTCAGGCTTCAGGCTCAGGCTTCACATCTTCCTAAATACTCTCAATCAACAACCAGCTGCAGCAAGCCCCCAGCTCCCATAACTCTGGCTAAGCAGAGTCAGGCCTGGCACTGGCAGTATCCAGTTTTGGATCACAGTTTGGCACTGCCTGGGAACCTCCAAGCTGAGCATAAGTAGTAGTCATCTGCAGCTTGTTTTGTAACTCATGCTGGGTGGCCCTGGGCAGAACAAAGGTGGTGGCTGACTCTGGAATGCACTAGGCAGGAAACCTCAGAGCCTGCATATACAGTGGATAGCGACAAGCCACATGGCAACACTACTACCTTTCTCCTGCATACCTGGCTCTCCACGGAGGAAGAAGGTTGCTGGTCAGTGGTAACAGCCAGTGTTGAAGCTTACAGGCCTGACTAAATTCCTGTCATTGACCTGCTAACAGTAGTCAAGACTCAACTATAAAGGGAGGGTGTACTCAGCCTACACAGAGGGTGCACTTAGAGTACTCAGCTTGGGTGATACAGGAGTCTATGTCACTGAACAGTGCAGGACACCTACTACTTTAGGCAACACTACCAAGACAGGTAGTTATAGCAGCTCTACCTGATACATAGAAACAAACACAGGGAGGCTGCCAAAATGAGGAGATATAGAACATTGACCAAATGAAAGAACAGATCAAAACTCCAGAAAATAGTTAAATTAAATGGAGATAACCTATCAGATGCAGAGTTCAAAACACTGGTGATAAGGATGTTCAAGGAACTTAGGGAGGACCTGAACAGCATAAAAAAGATATAGTCAGAAACAAAGGATAACTAATTGAAATAAAGAATAAACTGGAGAGTGGATGAAGCTGAGAATCAAATCACTTATTTGGAACATAAGGAAGTAATAAACAACCAATCAGAATGAGAAGAAGAATAAAGAAACCAAAAAATGAGGATAGTATAAGCAGCTTCTGGAACAACTTTAAGAGGTCCAACATTCACATTACAGAAGGAGAAGAGAAAGAGTAAGAATGGAAATCTATTTGAAAAAATAATGAAAGAAAGCTTCCCCAGTTTGTTGAATGAAATAGACATGCAAGTCCAGGAAGCACAGACAGTTCCAAACAAGATGTATACAAAGAGGCCCATGCCAAGACACATCATAATTAAAATGGCAAAGGTTAAAGATAGAGAGAAAATCCTAAAAGCAGCAAGAGAAAAGCAGTTAGTTACCTACAGGGGAGTTACCATAAGATTTTCAGCTGATTTCTCAAAAGGAACTTTGCAGACTAGGAGGGATTGGCAAAAAATTATTCAAAGTCATGAAAAGCAGGGACCTAGAGTCAAGATTGCTCTATTCAGCAAAGCTATCATTTAGAGTTGAAGGGCAGATAAAGAGCTTCTCAGACAAAAAAACTAAAGGATTTCATCATCACCAAGCCATTATTATATTAAATGTTAAAGGTACTTATTTAAGAAAAATACCAAAACTATGAACAGTAAAATGACAATAAACTCAAAATTATTAACAATGAAATCTAAAAGAAACAAAAACAAAAACAAACTAAGCAAACAACTGGAACAGGAACAGACTCATAGAAATGGAAATATGGAGTGTTATCAGTGGGGAGGAGGAAGTGGGAAGGGGGAGAAAGGGATAAAAGATACAGGGAATAAGAAGTATAATTGATAGGTACCAAATAGACAGGGGATATTAAGAATAGTATAGGAAATGGAGAGCCCAAAGAACTCATGCACGACCCATGAAGATGAACTAAGGCGGTGGATTATGGAGAGAATAGCAGTACTGGACAGAGGGAGGCAAAGGGGAAAAATGGGACAACTGTATTAGCATAATAAGTAAAATATACTTAATAAAATATCTGCAAATCAATTAACATGATATACTACATAAACAAAATGAAGGATAAAAATCATATGATCATATTAGTAGATACAGAGAAAAACCTTTGACAAAATAAACTAGCACCCATAAAATCTTGCAGCACAGTGAGAATAGAACATGGTGCATTCTGAGAACTATAAGTAGTTCACTCTGACTAGAAGAAAAGTGAAGGCAGTTAAGAAATTGTGAGAAGACTGGAGAAAAATGGGACACAATACATATTTTGAAAATGAAGAAATGGAGTCTCAAAATGTTTACATCATTTTCCTGTGGTCATGTTGAATAGAAGAGCTAGAACCAGTTCTTCTCTGCCTCTTTCCTGCTTCACTGAGCTCATACCATACCACAGAGCCATCCTGCCTCTCTTTACTAATACCAAAAGAGATGCATATAAAGAATGTGATTCCTTTCATTTGTTAATCTAAACTGCATGGGGGAATTGCTTCTTGGCCTTTTGGCTAAGATCAAGTGTAGTATCTGTTCTTATCAGTTTAAACTGCATGAGGGAAGAGCATTTTCCTAAGTAATACCCTTCTGAGGGAATGCTCTACAGAAAAGGGCATAATCTACATTTAAAAAAATTCTTCCATGGCTTTAAAAAATATTTTATCATTGTTCAATTACAGCTGTTCCCTTTTTTTTCTCCCATTACTCTCCCCTGCCCTACCCACATCCCACCTGACACATTCAATCCTCTGCCTCCTGTTGTCTTTGTACATTGGTCCTTTATACATGTTCTTTGACTGGACCCTTCTTATTCTTTCCCTCATTACCCACCTTCCCTGTCCCCTCTGGTCACTGTCAGTTTGTTCTTCATTTCCATGTCTCTGGTTATATTTTGCTTCCTTGTTTGTTTTGTTGATTAGATTCCACTTATATGTGAGATCATATAGTATTTGTGTTTCACCACCTGGCTTATTTCCCTTAGCATAATTCTCCCCAGTTTCATACATGCTGTCATGAAGGGTAGGAACTCCTTTTTTCTTTCTGCTTGTACCACAGGTTTTTGACTCACTCATTACTGGTGGGCACTTAACATGCTTCAGCACTTAGCTATTGTAAATAATACATTGGGGCACATAGGTTCTTTTGAATTGGTGTTTCAGGATTCTTAGAGTATAATCCCAGCAGTGGAACTGCCTGGTCAAAGGGCAATTACATTTTTTATTTCCTGAGGAAATTCCATACTATTTTCCACAGTGGCTGCACCAGTCCGCATTCCCACCAACAGTGTATTAGTGTTCCCTTTTCTCCACAACCTTGCCAGCACCTGTGGTTTGTTGATTTGTTTATGATGGTCATTCTGACCCTTGTGAAGTTGTATCTCATTGTGGTTTTAATTTGCATCTCTCTAATGGCTAGTGATGCTGAGCATTCTTTCATATGTCTCTGGACCCTCTGTGTGTCCTCCTTGGGGAAGTGTCTCTTCAGGTCCTTTGTCCATTTTTAAATGGGTTGTTTGTCTTCCGGTGTGGAATTGTGTTAGATCTTTATATATCTTGGGGATCAACCAGATGAAACCCCTGTCTGAGGTCTCATTAGCAAATATATTTTTCCATACAGTTAGTTTCCTTTTTATTTTGCTGATGTTTTTGCACTGTGCATAAGTGTTTTAATGTGATGGAGTCCCATTTGTTTGTTCTTTCCTTTATATTCCTTGTTCTAGGGGACATACTGGTGAAAATATTGCTGTGTGGAATATTTTAAATTTTCCTGCCTATGTTCTCTTCTGGGACTTTCATGGTGTCATGACTTATATTTAAACCTTTTATCCATCTGAGTTTATTTTTGTGTATGATATAAGTTGGTTGTCGAGTTTCATTTTTGTGTGTGTAGCTGTCCAGGTCTCCCAACACCATTTGCTGAGGAGGCTGTTTTTACTCCATTTTATGTTCCTTCCCCCTTTGTCAAATATTAATGGACTGTAGAGACTAGGGTTTATTTCTTGGTTCTCTATTCTATTTCATTGATCTATGTGTCTGTTCTTATGCCAGTAACAGACTTTTTTATTACAATGACATTGTAATAGAGTTTGATATCAGGTACTGGGGTACTGCCTACTTTGTTCTTCCTTCTCATAATTGTTGTGGCTATTTGAGATAATATTTGGTTCCATATAAATTTTGGAAATGTTTGTTCTGTATATATGAAATATATTATTGGTATTTTAATAGGGGTTGCATTGAATCTATAGATTGCTTGGGGTAGTATGTACACTTGATGATATTAATTCTTCCGATCCATGAAAATGGTGTATGCTTCCATTTATTTGTGTCTTCCTTAATTTCTTTCTTCAGTGTTATATAGCTTTTTTAGTAAAGGTCTTTTACCTCCATGGATAGGTTATTCTTGGTACTTTGTTTTTCTTGTTGCTATAGCAAATGTGATTTTTCCCCTAATTTCTGTTTCCTAATATCTTTTTCTGATATTCTATTTTTTGTGTAAAAAAGTGCCTTTGATTTCTGAATATTGACTTTGTGTCCTCCTGTTTTGTCAAATTCACTTATTAGGTTGAGTAGTTTTTTGGTGGCGTCTACAGGGTTTTCTATGTACACTATCATAGCATCTGTAAACAATGACAGAATTATTTTCTCTTTCCCAATTTGGATACCTTTTATTTCTTTTTCTTTTCTGATTGCTGTGGCTAGAACTTCCAATCTATGTAGAATAGAAGTGGTGAAAGTGGACACCCTTGTCTTGTTCCTGATCTTAGTGGGAAACCTTTTAATTTTTTTCCATTGAGTTTGATGCTAGCCGTAGTTTTTTCATATATGGCCTGTTACGTTACATCATGCTCTCTACTCCCACTTTGCTTTGTGCTTTTATCATAAATAGGCACTGTACTTCATCAAATGCTTTTTCTGCATCTATTGATATGATCGTGTGATTTTTGTCTTTCCTTTTGTAATGTATTATGTTTCTTAATTTGTGAATACTGTACCATCCTTGCATCCCTGGAATGAATCCCACTTGGTCATGGTTTATGATCTTTTTAATGTATTGCTGGATGAGGTTTATCAATATTCTGTTGAGGATTTTAGCGTCTATGTTTATCAATGAGATTAACCTATGGTTTTCTTTCTTTGTTGTATCCTTATCTGGTTGGGGGATTAGGATGATGCTGGCCTCATAAAAAGAGTTTGAGAGTCTTCCCTCTTGGATTTTTTGAATAGTTTGAGAAAGATAGGGGTTAGCTCTTCCTTAAATGTTTCGTAAAATTCTCCTGTGAAACTGTCTGGTCCAGGGCTTTCATGTGCTGATAGGAGTCTTTTGATTACTGACTCAATTTCATTAGCAGTTATCTGTCTGTTCAGGCCCTCTGATTTTTCTTGATTCAGTTTTGGAGGATTCTATGTTTCTAGAAATTTGTCCATTTCACCCAGGTTGTCAAATTTCTTGGCATATAGTTGTTCATAGCAATTTCTTACAATCCTTTTTATTTCTGTGTATCAGTTGTAATTTTCCTCTTTTCTTTCTGGTTGTATTTATTTGGGTCCTCTCCCATTTTTTTCCATGATGAGGCTGGTTAAAGGCTTGTTGATTTTGTTTATCTTTTCAAAGAAACAGCTTCTTGATGTATTGATCCTTTGAATTATTTTTTTTAGTCTCTGTGTCATTTAATTCTACTCTGATCTTGGTTATTTCCTTCCTTGCATTTCCTCTGGGCTTTGTTGTTGTTCCTCCAGTTATTGTAGATGTAGGGTTTGGTTGTTTATTTGAAATATTTCTATGATTTTTAGGTAGCCTTATTTTGCTATGAACTTCCCTCTTAGGATTGCCATTGTTATGTCCCGTATTTTGAGCTGTAATGTGTTAATTTTCACTTGTTTCCCCAAATTTTTTAATTTCCTTCTTGATCTCGTTTATAACCCTCCATGTGATGTCCATTTCTGTGGTTCTGTTCCTGTTCTAATTGTTTGCTATGTTTTTGTTTTTGTTTTAGATGTGGTTGTTAATAATGGTGAGTTTGCTGTCATTTTACTGTACATGTTTTTTATTTTCTTTTTCTTAGATAAGTCTCTTTAACATTTCATATAATCGGGGCTTGGTGATGATGAACTCCTTGAACTTGACTTTATCTGAGAAGCACTTGATCTGCCCTTCCATTCTAAGTGAAAGCTTTGCTGGATAGAACAGTCTTGGATGGAGGTCTTTGGATTTCATAACTTGGAATACTTCTTTCCAGCCCCTTCTTGCCTGTAAGGTTTCTTTTGAGAAATCAGCTGACAGTCTTATGGGAACTCCTTTGTAGGTGACTGTCTCCTTTTCTCTTGCTGCTTCTAGGGTTCTCTCCTTATTTTTAATCTTAGGTAATGTAATTATGCTGTGCCTTGGTGTGTTCCTTCTTGGGTCCAACTTCTTTAAGACTCTCTGAGCTTCCTGGGCTTCCTGGAAGTCTATTTCCTTTGCTAGATTGGGGAAGTTCTCCTTTTTTATTTGTTCAAATAAGTTTTGCACTTGTTGCTGTTCCTCTTCTCCTTCTGGTACCCCTATAATTCAGATGTTGGAATGTTTAAAGATGTCCTGGAGGTTCCTAAGCCTTTCCTCACTTTCTTTGAATTCTTGTTTCTTCATTCTTTTCTGATTGGATTTTCTTTCTTCCTGGTAGTCCACTCCATTCATTTGAGTCCCAGTTTCCTTCCCATCACTGTTGGTTCCCTGTACATTTTCCCTTACTTCACTTAGTGTGGCCTTCATTTGTTCATCTAATTTACTACCAAATTCAACCAATTTTGTGAGCATCCTGATTACGAGTGTTTTGAACTGTGCAATCGATGGGTCGGCTACCTCGTCTTGGCTTAGTTGTATTTTTTTCTGGAGCTTTGACCTGTTCTTTCATTTGGGCTATTTTTTTTGTTTGTTTTAATGGGCCTGTTACATAGTGAAGAGTGGAGCCTTAGGTATTCACCTGGGTGGGGCAACCCACATTGCTGGGTTGTGACACTCTATGTGGGGCTGGGGTCTGAGAGGGAACAATGGCTCTCACGCCACTCTCTGCCCAATTTCAGTCACTTCCCCTGCTTCCCACAAGCAAATTGGACTCTTCTGGTACTGATTCCCAGGTGGTGGTGTTTGTGCACATTCTAGAACCCTGTGGGTCTCTCCAACAAACTCTCCTGTGAGGCTGGTAGTTTCTCCCGGCACCTCAGCCCGCACACGTGCTTTCAATCAGTAACTTGAGGCTTTATTTCCCAACACTTGGACCCTGGGTTGCGTGGTTTGTTTCACTCCCCAGTTTCTTCTGGTTTATCTACATGATCCTCCATCTGCCTTGCAGGCTGTGCTGCACCGTGTTCCACAATCTGTCACCTGACTGGGTCCACCAGCCACCACCTTGCCTGCCTGGGGTCTGCCAGCCACTGCTTGGCTGTGAGTCCTTTCCGCCCTGGTTGCCTGACTGCACCCCTTCTACTGGTCTGGGGAGTGTGTCTTCTTTAACTCCTCGGTTGTTGGACTTCTATATAGTTCAATTTTCTGTCAGGATTGTTGTTTTTTATTTTTAAATTGTTGTTGTCTTTGGTTGTACAAGGAGGAACAGTGTGTCTACCTACGCCTCTATCTTGACCAGAAGTCTTGTTGATAGTTTCTATGTCCTTTTTAATGCTGATAGAGTTCATAGTAAGTGCCTTGTAGCTT